TGGGGGATGGGGGGTGGTGTGGAGTTACACCCGAGCTGAATCGTGGGACCAGGGGAGGGACCAGCCTCCAAGCATGCACGCCCTCTGCCCAGGGCCCGGGGCCCCCACCTCTGAGATGGCAGCTGCGGACCCCTTGGCTACAGAGAACACCCCTCCCGTCAAGAATCCTGGGAAGGGGTGGGAGTGGAGCTCTGGGAAGGCTGGGATGTGGGGTGCCAGGCGGAGAAAGGGACGGGTAGTGCTCTGGCATTTCCACAGATAAGACAGGGGAGCCCCACCCTGCCGCCCACAACCTGACTTCGACCCCAGTTTCCTGGGAGTGGAACCTAACCCGCTGCGCCCATCTTCTTCTCACGTCATACACACTAGCAGACGCCCTGCTCGCCCCAGCCGCTGAGCCCCCCTGTCCCAGGCTCTCCTGCCCCCCTGCTGGCAGGTCTGGCTCTGGGGGTCCCAGCTCAGACCCGTTAGTGGGGAGCTGTCAGGTACCGACAGGAGCAGTGCCCGCATCAGCCTGCGTCCTGGGCAGGAGCGCGCAGGCACACAGGGGTAGCTGACTTCCTCACACCATCTTTTTTGCTGGAATTCGTGCACAGGAGCACGTTCTCTCCTTTCAGGAGACAGGCTGGTGTGCTGTGCACAGAGTATCCAGCCAGTCTCCAGAGACATAAATCTTTTAGGAAGGTCTGTCTGGTTGCTTCAGTTTCAGGAAAACAGGGGAAACGGATGCCAAGTTTTCTCTGGCCTCCAGGTCTGCAGGTGGAAGCCGGGCCAGCGCTGCTTCACCACCGAACATCGCCCCGCTCAGGGCTCCGGGAAGCCTTCCCAAGTCCTCCAAGTGCCAGTGGCCTTGGGGGGCTTCTGGAGCCCCTGCAGGTCCCCCGGCTCCTCCTTCTTATCAGTTCCCTGCTGGACTGATTTCTCAACCAGTGTCTTGCTTGTCTGCAGTCTCCTGCCGTGGCTGAGAGGTTCTCGTGTGGGTAACAATTCACTGAGGGGGACCTACGTGGACCTCCCCACCTCTCCCTGCTCCCCGCTGTCCCCCCTCTCTGCTCTAGAGTTCTGCCCCTGGGCACAGATCTCCATGGCCACCAGCCCATGTCCCGGGAACCAAGTATGTGGCCTTTGTCCACAGATCAGGTGTCTGGCCAAACAAAGAAACACTGTCTCGCAAGCATGCGCCCGTGAGGGACGGAGGGAGCAGCCCCTTTTGTGAATGGGCCCACTCTTCCCTCCGTGAGGCCACGTAAGCTGCCAAGGGAATTCTTACTCCAGTTGATTTTCATGTAAATGCCCTCTGACCCTTCCATTTCCTCCCCCTGCATCACCCTTGCTTCCCAAGCTCCACTCCGTGAAGCCATGAGTCAGTTCTGAGAGATGACCTGGGCCCATGAAGTCACCTGTTTGAAACGAGTAACCTCACAGCCTGGGTTTTAACAGCAGCAGTGCTGCTGGGAGAGAGGTAGGCAGGAG